GAAGCTGGGATTTAAATATATGTACATCTTAGTATCTTTGTATCTTTGTACAACAAAACTGCAAATCATGTAAGTTATTCCAGATCTCTATGAGAACCACTTATAACTACATTCTTCTTCATTCTATAAACCATACCTGAAACTACTACAGAGCATTCAAGGTATGATCTGATCTGTTTTCCATAATGGAAAACCTAGTGTTTTAGATGGAAATCTAAAGATGCACTCATAAAAAATAATTATGTAAGAGTAGAAATAAATGCCAGCTATAGAGGACACATCTAGGCAGAAATGTCTTCATATACTTATGTTTCCCAGAGGTTTTCAATTGGAAGTTATTAAATCGAAAAAGAGCCCCAGCAAGAAAGATATCAGGCTGTATAGAACGACACATCAGCAGAAGTCAGCAATATGCTAAAGTTGGGGGATTTTACCTTATTCTATCCATGAAGTGCTCAAAGTTGTCCAGTGTTGTGATGTTGTAGTTATGTACTTCAAACTGAACATCAGGATTAATGTCCCTTATGGAGGAAATAATTGGAGTCAGTAAAAAAGAATACAATGATAATTTGCATTCTACTTCCTAACTTCACAAGTGTTGCTACAGTCTTAAGTTTCCAGTCTGAACTCTAGAATTCACCAATTTGTCAAAAATTCAGATTAGATAAGAAAAAAACCCGCAACGTATGGAAGTGGCATCATTTATACCAAACTTCTGAGCAAAACTGGCTATACTTAAAAAGTAGACTCACATTAAGGTTTATTGGCCAGTACAAAAATGTCTTTGAAGTATCAGTCATCCCCACAAATATTTTATACTCAAATTCCCAAATTAGATCATGCTCCTTTGCAAATGATTAAGAGTGAAACATTGGTTTTCTGGAGCAGCATCCTCATTAAATACATTTTGATACCCACTTCTCCAAGTTATACCTCAAAGTGTGTTCTGCTGCTTGTACTTTACTTAATCCAGCTTGATGAGGTTGGAAGAAGAGTCTGTTCATGTTTGCCAGTTCCACTTTGTCATAATCAAACAGAAGCAGCTACAATAAAGATTGTTTTAACATGTGTGAATCTCCAGAGACTCTGCAAAAAGAGCACTGTGGCAAGGCATTCTGAACAACAAAATAAATTCTAAAACCAAAGCCAGAGAAAACTCCCCCAACCAAACTCCCTCCCTCAGAGATCCATTCAGTTCACATACAAGAGATACCAACATCATAAGGATGTGAAAACTGAACCAATCTGTTAAGTTATTAAAATTACTCAATAAAATGTTAACTCTTTATTTGAGATAAACTAAGAATATTAAACTGATAAAACTAGATGAACAGTATCACATCTATTATCACATTCCTACTTGCTGCCATGTGACAAACCAATGTTTGTGATAAAGAGATCTGTTTGCCATCTATGCCACTACGACATTTCAATTGCATGAGATAAACTTGGTTCGTATGTGACACTATCTTTTATGTGAAATACCCCCACCTTTTTCTGTATTTTGTTTTCCTTTTGCAGTAATCCAGCATGTTAGCGAGATGGGTTCATATAGAAATGACAAACATCCAAACAAAAATCATCCATATGATACAGGATTAAGTTCTAAATAAATCAATTTTACCAGCATAAGAAAAATACATACTCTTCATGTGTGTTTACACAAGCACTGTTCTTGAGTGCTTTCTTCACAACATTTTTTTATTTGGTGATCAACAGGGTGAAATCAAATCAAATACTTTACAAATAGGACTGGTCAATCTACTAAAAGATATTGAAGAATAAATAAAACTCTCATTACCTTACCAATGCCACACCTTGTCAGCATTTCAGCAGTGACACTGCCAACGCCCCCTACGCCTACTACTGCAACTGTGAAGGTACGGATTTTCTGCAGAAAGAAATAATATACAGATCAGTATCTCAAATGTGGTCCTCCCAGGGAAAAAATGCAAGCAACATTTCATTACAGATAGAATCCTACCTCATAGTCTTTGACAATTCCCATTCTTTTTAACGCCATCAAGCGACTACAAAGAAAAAAAAATGCAACATTACACAGAAAATGTATGTTTCTAATAACAATTTTGCTTTTCAGGTACTTAAAATCACTTCTGCTTTAGAAATAACCTCACCAAGCAATAAAGTCAAGCCTGCTGTTTCCACTGCAGTTGTGACTGCTAAGCTAGGTATGTTCTGAGTGACAGAGTAGATGCTTTCCTATTTGCACTAGAGTCCTAAACCTGCAGAAACTCATGCACCTATTCCTCTGGTACATGTAATATCGATGGCATCAGAAGGACACAGCTATTTTTCTAAATGAATCCCTGACTTACAGAATGAAAAGTGACACTTTTTTTGGTAATGAACCATATGGCAGCAAACTAGTGAAGACTTGCACTGTTTTCTGATCCATTTGATTAGATTAATGTAACATCAAAAAAAAAGAAAAATAAATAGCGACTATCTGGTTTTGAGGATAACTAAAAGGGTTTTAAAGTAACATTTTATCCCTCTGTTCCATTTTTCATTAATGTACAAATATCAACTTGTATTGAGGAAAAATAAAACCAAACCCAAACCAACAAAACAAAAACCAAAAAATCATCAGATTTCTAGAAGGGAAGGGGTCTCTAAAGCTCAAGAACTCTATAAACCAACTTCTAAAATAGGCAATATGGAGGAATGAGGCTAAGACCTCACGTAATACCATTTACTAGCAACCTAGCTGAAAAACTCACAAGATTTCCTCTCTTTCGCTCTCCCCGCCTGTACTGTAAAGCAAGATAATACAAAGTAACCCTGACATCCACCACCCCTGACAGCGCAGTCAGGTGGGAAATCAGAGAGCATCTCTGCCCTGCTCCGCACGGAGCACCTGCCTCCTGCACTGCCCGACACCCTCCTGAGCACACCCAGCCCCATCCCTGAGATTCCCACCGTCCCGGCCCTCCTTCCCCATCCTCCGCATCCTGACAGAGCCCTCCGCAGCCCTCACGGCCCCTCACCGCACCTGTAGGGGTTGGAGTCGGTCACCTCGGGGCTCATGGTGTCGATGCGGGCCCGCGCCGCTCCCCGCCCGCGCTTCTCCCGGGCCAGCTCCTCCTCCAGCTCCCGCACGCGCCGCTCCAGCCGCTCCAGCCGACCGGGATCCGCCATGCCAGCGACACGTCTGTGCCCGGCCCCGGGAGCTGCCGGGAAGCGCCGGGGCCGGCCCTTCCCGGGGCCGGCCCTTCCCGGGGCCGGCCCTTCCCGGGGCCGGCCCTTCCCGGGGCCGGCCCTTCCCGGGGCCGGCCCTTCCCGGGGCCGGCCCTTCCCGGGGCCGGCCCTTCCCGGGGCCGGCCCTTCCCGGGGCCGGCCCAGGGAGGAGACTGAGGGGCGGTGGCCGCCGGGGTGGTACTTGCTTGCTGGGGAACGTCGTGTTCCGAGAGGGGCCGACAGTCAGGGGGCGGTGAAGTGCTCTTCTTGGCGCACCGTAGGCGCCTCTGGGTGACCGGCCTGCGAGGATGGCGGCGGAGCCGGGCACTAGCGCGGTGCGGCAGCAGCACCGCTTCGACCAGGACAGCCTGGAGCGGTACCTGAGCAGCCGCTTGCCCGGCTTCCCTCGGCAGCCCGCGGGCGCGCTGGCTGTCAGGCAGTACAGGTAACACAGGTGACACCGGTGACAGGTGGCTGGCTCAGCTGGCGGGGCCGCCGCCGCTCCCCTGCCCCGGGTAAGGGCGAGCAGAGGAGCCACTCGCTGCCGCCTGCCAGGGAAAGTGGTCGGGGTAGCGCCCTTTGCTGTCGGGATGGCGGGCAGCAGCCATCAATGGATTTTTAAGATGCATTCTGAGTTGTTCCAGTTAAAAGCACGTCACAGCTCGTCCCTTGAGCTGCTGGAGAATACAAAGTTTGCGGTGGCGGCCAAAGTGACCTTTGGCACGCTCAGTCTGTGGCTGTCTGTGGGCGGGCTGTGTGTTGGGTGGACTAACCGCTGTCCTCAGAGTATACCCACTATTGTGTTATTGCCTAGACATAAATCGCAATTGATCTGCTCCATCTTCAATTGCACAGCAAATAGCGACGTTCAGAAGCACATACATGACTTAAGAAATCAATGGTAAAAGCGTTAGGCTGTCACCATTTGTAAGCAAATCCACGAGAACAGCGTAAAGGTGTGCCGAGATTCCCGTTACTGCCCGCGGAGCATAATGCGGTGTGCCAAGGAGGTGCTACACCCGGGCTCCAAAGTCTCTGCTCCATAGAGAACTGAGTTCGTTTGCATCCAGCAAATCAGTGGTGTGGCTGTACGACTTCATGTCAGGAACTAACTACTAGAAGCAAAGTTATTCCAAAAATAAGGATTCGTTCCTTTGTAGTCATGACCATAACATATCTACAACTATCACGAAGCAACAGTGAACAATTTTTCATTGTCTTCTGATGTAAATATAAAACATTAATTCATTCAGTCCGCCCTAATCTTCCTATGTACCTCAGCTGAGAAGAATTTAGGGGGTGCCTTAGGAGAAGAGCTAATAGTAAAGTCTCCTAAAATTTCATTAGTATTTGTGCTTTTACTTGGTTTGGTAATTGTAATTACAGTTCAAGGATTCAGCTGACCTAAATTTCTTTTGTTCTGGGAAGAGTATTTGTCAGATAAGCTTTTTAAACTATTACAAACTATGCCCTAACTACTTTGGGGAGAATGGAAACGTAATGAGAGGAATGAGGGCAAAAGTTCATTTGATTTTTATTTTCCAATACCTGTCTAATAATTTATTCAACTATGTCAGAATACATCTTAAAAATTAACCAGAATAAGGGGAGAAAAGCATTCAGATTAACTCAGAGCCATGAGGAAAATAAGGATCAATGGGTTTGATTGCAATATGATAGACAAGGTGTTATGAAGGATTTAACTGGGTTTTCCTTCTCTTTTACACGTGTGATTGAAATGTCTAATTTTCTTTATGACTCAAACATGCATTCTTTAAAATGTTACAGTTCCTATAGGCTGTCCCTTAAGCATAAACTTTGGACATGATAATCAGGCTGGCAAACAGAGGGGCTTGGTACTGGAATCAGTAATTTAATCATAGAATAGAATCATAGAGTGGTTTGGGCTGCAAGGGACCTTAAAGATCATCTAGTTCCAATCCCCTTACCATGGGCAGGGACACCTTTCTGTAGACCAGGTTGTTTAGAGCCCCATCCAGCCTGATGGGCTTGAATACTTTCAGAGATGGGGCATCCACAACTTCTCTGGGCAGCCTGTTTCAGTTGAGATTTGAAAAAAACCCACAACACAAAACAGCTCTGGAGAAGATGCTTTCCTCCATCTTGCCGTTTTGTTTAGGTCAAGTCACACTTCATTTTGCAAGTATAATTTCTGTTAGAAGTTTACAAATTTTTAAGTACTTGAATTTTTGAGTAATTGTAATCTTTCTCTTTGCAGCTCAGGCCAGTCAAACCCAACCTTTTACCTTCAGAAGGGTGGGCAGGCTTTTGTGCTCAGGAAGAAGCCCCATGGTCCCCTTTTACCTAGAGCACACAAGGTAAGTAACATTCTTCACTGAGCTCCATACACTTTGTATTGCAGATGAACAGTGTCTATATGTGATGGTCAAGCACATTGAAGAATGTGTCCAGAAAGGCAGTGAGTTGCTGGATTATTTCCTATGTTTTGTGCTCTACATGTAATTAAACGTTCAAGAGGATTCACCATACTCATTAATGTTTGGGAGGTTTTAATTGGACCTAAATTTCTGTGTCTCCTTCAGGTCGACAGAGAATATCGTGTGCAGAAAGCCTTATTTTCAGCTGGGTTTCCAGTGCCTGAGCCCCTTTTGTATTGCAGTGACGTTTCTGTCATTGGAACAGAGTTTTATGTAATGCAGCATGTAAAGGTTGGTCCTCCAGTGTGAGATTCTTTCCCTCTTCCTCCTACAAGCTGCTTTTGAATTGTCTAAAACCTTTCTGTTAGAGCCTTACCCAGCACAGTATTGTGATATGAGCATAAATAATCTTCTGATATTTTAAAGAAATGCTAGCTATCAGTAATTCTCACAGATTTCAGCTTCTCCAGGGCTTATTTCACACTTTGCTGAATTTTTTAGCACAGTATTTAACCTCTTGTTCTTGTTTGAGCTCTTGGAAAGATATCTTGAAATGAGGCAATATTGCTTCTGTGAAAAGCATACACAAATCAGAGGGAAAAAATTCTGTCTGTAAACTGAATCTTTGGACATCCTGGAGCCTGTATTGAAGATAGGAACTGACATAAAAACACCTTTTCTTGAAAACAAAGCAGAATTCCAGTTTGAACACTAGTTTCAGAAAGAACACAGCATATCTCTGTCTGCACTCTGGGGGTGCTGTAGCTGAGTTGATATACTTTTTGTTAGATTTTGGTGATTTTGAGCATAAGTCTGCTGTACTGTGTCTTTTTTTTCTTATCCTGTGGGAGGAGGAGTTGAATTCAGGCCTTTTCCTCTTCACAGCATCCCATTCTATCATCAGGTTCACTGGGAAATTAGAAATGTAAGTTTGTGGGCCACTTTCTGAAGATTAGGTTAACCTTCCTACAAAAACCATAAATCAAGAGTAATAGAATGTAAGGGCTGTGAAAAATTTGAAATACGTTTCTTACATCAAAGATGGAGAATTTTACTAATTTTGATTATAACAAAGTGATTCCTTAAGAAGAAGCCTTTTACATTTCGAAGTATGTAAATGTACGGTCTGTCCATTCTATGATGGTTAGCACTGCTCCCTTTTTAACAGTTGTGAAAATGGAACAACAAACCCATCTTCTAAATGTATTCAACTGTTTTTAAGGAGAAAAACAAGTGAATTTCTTTGGATTGTTTGAATCTTTTTACCCACAATCCACCCATTCCACTGCCTGCCCCTCCTTTCCCCTGGGGTCTTCATTGGTATTTTTTCTGCAATTTAGCTTTTAGGGACAATACAGAAACATTGTTTTTCCTGATACTTTTAGACTTGAGGGTATCTGGATTGAGTGCTCCAATTCAGAATTTCATCTACAGATACACCATAGACTAATGACCTGGGTTTACCATGAATCCCTTCATTGGCTCTGGGTGAGAAACAAAATAATTGAGGAAGGAATTTTTGCTTGCATAGGGAGTGTTGGTTCACTTCATTTGTTTTTGGTTGTGTAATGTATAGCTTTACTTCTTTTCATCTGATGTGTACATCCCACCAAATATCTGATTTATGGTATTTCTAGGGTCGCATTTTCCGAAACATCTCTCTGCCTGAGGTGGGCCCAGCAGAGCGTTCTGCGCTGTATCTTGCAATGATAGAAACTCTGGCCCTGTTGCACTCCTTTGATTTACAGTCATTGGGTCTCCAAGGATATGGTAGAGGACCAGGATACTGCAAAAGACAGGTATAGCTCTTAACATTCTCCTTTTTTGTCTGGTCTTTGAATGTTTATTTGATTTGCAAGCTAAATTGTTAATTATTAGTGATCACATTTTAGTTATTAAACCTTCACTTAGTTCAATTAATTGTGCACATTTTGAAGCCACTACTACATTCAGATTTATTCTGTAATGCTGTACTTAGGGAGTGATAAGCATTTGCTTTTAGACTAACACTAGATTTGGGCTATGTAAAAAGGATTGAAATAGATGTAGTCTTCATTTAAACTTTTGATATCTCAGTTCATATTTGCAAATGCAGAGATACTGGGTTTTACTGAATTTTCAAGCAACGTGGTGATAACCAAAGCCCAGAAGTATGTGCTTCAAAATTTGTGCTCTTGAAAAACTTGTCAATCAACTGAAAAATCTGTTGGAGTGTTTGTATTTTTTAGGTATCAACTTGGAAAAAGCAGTATGATGCAGCTGCTCATACAGATATTCCTGCCATGAACAAGCTGGCTGAGTGGTTAGCAAACAACTTGCCACCTGATGATAATGAAGAAAGCCTGATTCACGGGGACTTCAGAATAGATAACATCATCTTCCACCCAACAGAGGTATTTGAAATGTGTTTGTACATTTAGTAGGTTTTGGCCCTCCGTTTGTTTGTAGTCATGTCATGGGACACTTACATGTGGATTATTTTAGTGCATGAAACATCTTTGAAAGAAAAAGTAGAAAACTAAACTGTTCTTTATACTCTGTGTAAGGTATTTAGGTACCTAATACAGTCCTGGCTTTCACTGAAGGAGC